CCCCAAAACCCCAAAACCCCAAAACCCCAAAACCCCAATGAGGGTATAAATCTTGAACGTAAATATTGTGCCTAAGTGTGGGATTCCAATAGATGAGACATATCTGAGACATTATTTGCAATTTCGCAAAGCTGATGTTTTATGTGTGTATCATCATTGGAGATCTAAAGAACCATTCCTGAGCTGCATATGCATCTTAGATTAAGCACATTGCTGGAATTAAGAAATCCCTCGTTCACCTGTAGATAGAATGTCCTTATAACTCTTTCTTTAGGGTACTTTCCCATTTCTCTTCTCGAATAGCACCCAGATGGTCGTTATTACTTCTGAATTCAGTATGAGAGTCAAGTTTAATGGCATCGTGACTCATATCATTGTCATGTTTTTTAAGTAAATTAGATAGGGTATCGTCTCCGCCATCTCCAGCCCCTCCGAAGTTATACTTATTTTCTATATCTGCCAACCTATTTTCATTCCTATTATTGATCTTGTCAAGATTTATGGTATTAATTGTCTTCAGGGTGTTGACAGTACCATTGCCTAAAGATTGCGTAGAGTCTCGTACTCCAAAACCACCATTCTTTGTAGCTTTATATGGAGATTCATGATCAATAGCTGAAGTATTCAATGCTTCAGGCCCTTTCTTTTGGAACGAGGTGTCCCTTAGTTTGCCCTTTCCAGCACTTTCAAGAAATTCTGATTGGATTCCCTCGTATTCAGGCAATGCAGGGAAGTTATCAATATCGAGAGCCATATTATTCGTATTAGCAGTGAAACTCGTATCTGTCAGCTTCTTATTTTTGAGCTCACTTGCCTTTTTGGATAAAGAGTCTTGCCTGCCGAACTTAGTAGGACCAGAAGATTTCGGATCTCCCCCAACTCCATTGATCTTGCTAATAAAATCAAGGGTGTCTTCAGCCTTTATAGTCTGCTTCTCTTCAGGTGCTGGGTTAAACTGATACTTCATCCTATTTTTGTTAATTTGGTTCTTTATGCCAGGGTCTAAAGTAGGAATTTCAGTATTATGATTATAAGAATTATCGTTCATATCTATTGCATGCTTTTTGAGCTTCTCTGGGTTCCTTTCATAGACTGGAATTCCTCCTTTATTCATTTTAAAAGTCTCCTCTTGTTTCTGTATTGCCTCTTTTCCAAAATAATTCGTTATAGTTCCATTATGGTCAACTGGTACCATTGCTGACTCTCCTTTGAGAGACTTTCCTGCTAAATTAATGTTACTTTTCTTTTCATTGAAAAACATCTTTTCATAATTCTTCATATTGACACCTCCTCGGCTAGCTGCTCTTGGCTCTGGAGTGTACTCTTCTTTACTCTGGCCAGGAGGAGCATATCTATTCAGAGCATTGGCAAGCTTGTTATGATGGTTATCCTCAGCTTTCTTCTTGTCTAAGAACTCCTTCATTCTTTTAAGCTCTTCATTGGCCTCATTTCTTTCTCTTACTGCTTTGTCAGTCTCACCTTTCAGCTCCTCCATTTGGTTCCTCATTTTATTTGTTTCTTGAGCTCATTTCAAGTCTGAGCTTATCTAGTTCTTCGTCAAAGTTCTTCTTGATCTGCTCTTGAATTTCATTAAAAATCTTGGTCTTCCCCAACAAGGGCTGAGGTTGTTGCTGAGGAGCTTGCATATTAGCCTGCATTGGTTGGACTGGGACTAGCGTTGGTCCTCCCTGACCGCCATTTCCAAACACCTCTCCCCTGTTATTCTGGGATGGAGGTCTAGATCCTAAAGATTAATGAATTGAATTTACTTCTATTATCAGACTTATATTTGGCATCTTCTTGTTTCTTCTTTTTAGCCTCGATCAGAGCTTCATTCTCCATCTGCATATTTTTAAATTTCTGTTTTTCTTTGTCTTGTTCTAGTTTGTACTGCCTCTCGATCTCGTCTCTTTCACGTTGGAGTTTTCTTTCTTCTTCCATTTCTTCTTGATCTCTTCTCCGCTTTTCTTCCTCTTTCTTCCGCTTCTTTTCCTCCATTTGGTCGAGAAGTTGTTGTTGCCATTCGTTCTTCATCTTGTTCTTGTTGTTTTTAAGGAGATCCTCGTTGCCGCCGACTGCAAGCGCGGACCCTCCTTCGTCTCGAGCCGGTGTTCTGATCCTACTACGATTGATTGTTGGGATAACCTTATCTTGAGGCGGTCCCGCGTCCATTGAAATGTTATTGAATCCTTTAGCTTGGGGGAGAACACCATTCGGGTCAGGCAGATTTCTTCCACCCATTGGTTGATTTTGAGCGCCCATACCGTAAGCATTTGCTGGCTCCATTCCAACCCCTCCCATATTGTTCATGGATGGCCCAGGGTTGTCCTGGTTCATAACTGTCATTTGGTTGTTGAATCCCATATTTTGTTGAGGAGCAATAGGTTGCTGCATTTCATAAGGATTTCCTCCTTGAAAATTATTCATATTTCCTCCAGCCCCTACATAAGGGTTTTGGTAATTTGGAACCATATTCTGATCAGGCATTCTTTGCTGCATTGGAGGTTGATAACCCACATTTTGCTGAGAAGGTTGATACATCTGAGGTTGAGCCTCTGAAGGATTCATCTGACTTGGCTGATACCCCATATTTTGATTAGCATAGCTAGGAGCACTAGCTTGGTTCTCACTTTCCTTCACAGCTTCTCTTCTATTAGTAATAACCTGACCTCTATTATTCTTAATGGGGGCGCCTGCGCCTCCTCTGCCGAATGGATCGCTGTAATTTTGCATTTCTTCTCTTTCTCTACGTCTTTCTTCTTCTTTTTCTCTCTTATTTCTTTTGCTCTCTTTCTTCCATTTCGCGTTTCCAGTCGTTCAGGTATTCACTCTTCTTGGCCTTGTCTTTGTTGGAGCCTCCTCTTGAGCTTACTCTTGGTCTAACTTCTTCAAAGTTATTTTGTGGGACTGGCTGCATTCCATAGTTTACATCTGGAGTTCCAGAAGCAGCTGAAGGGATGTAAGCAGGCTCATTTTGGGCTGGGTGTCCACTAGGCATGCTTATAGGGGCTTTGTTGCTTGGTGCACCACTGAAGTCATGCCTTGAAGGCCCCATTGGTTGTAATGGAGTCGCCTCAACTTTTCCCATTACTTGGAGATTCGAAGGATAACTAGCCGGATTTACATTATCTGAGCTTTGAAACTGCCCTGATGGTGGACCAGATTGACCTGGAAAATTCAAGTTTGGATTATTGTTTTCTGGTGGAGTACTATTAATAACAGGACCTGGAGCTGCAAAAGCAGGACTAATCTTGCTTGCCTTTTTCATCTTTCTTTGCTCCCACAACTGTTCTCTCTTACTCTTCCCTGAGCTCTGAATTGTCGGGTTTTCTTGAACATTAAACTGTAAATTATTCTGTGGCTGAGCTGGAGCTCTGTCCACAACTTGTTCTTTATCCTGATTTAATGCTTTCTCAAAAGCATTCTTGTCGAGCATCATCTTGAGTTTTAAAATATATTATGCAATTTTGATAAAGGCTGAAGGGGTTTTGGGGTTTTGGGGTTTTGGGGTTTTGGGG